GTTTTCTCAAGTCTACTCTTCACGAGCTATGTATGGTTAGGCGTCTGACTATTATTGAGGCTAACATTTTAGACACTATATTAGTTGGACCGATTCCTCTGCGATTGTAGCATGCAGAGTAAATAGCACACTTTTATTTCTTGTAAAAACGTCACATTAAGCCAATAAGTAAGTTATAAAATCAAATTTTCTATACATCAATAAATAAAACATCACAAATTATAATGAATAATAATTTGATAGTCTAGCTTCGTCATTGTAAACGTGACCGACCACTTCACCAGGGTATTCAGTGTTTATTATTTCAAAAAACCACAACATGAATCATAAAATTTGCTCAGTACGATTTTGCGTTGAGATGATTCATTCTGGTATTCTGCTGTTTCTTACTTTGTACACCTCTCAGTTCACAATATAGAAAGCTTCAGTTATTAACCAATTATCTATTAACCATATGAGGTGATTAAAGATATATGATATAGTGATATGAAGTTCGAACGAAAGTGATGTATGTATAAACACTAGAACTAAATTAGAGTGAACTGACAAAGCACTTACATTGAAATCCAAAAACAAGAACATCTCAAATGTTACTAATAGTGAGGAAATTACATGTAGCTATGAGAAATCATCTCTTCATCCCCTGAATACTCCTAGATCAATCAAAAATGCGGTTCCGAACATCCAATAGTGAGTCCATTTTCCGATCAACAGATAACAAGTTTTCACATCACAGACTATTTTAAACAAAGTTGCTGAAAATCGATTTATGGGAGTTGGATTATTCGTAACAGAAGTCAATAGCCCTGCTAGTTTTACCGAAACAGAAACAAACAATATCCATATTTTGTTAGTTTACATAACTTCAGCCTCCATTATGATTGACTTTGTCTGTACAACTCACGGAAAATCGCAAAGGTTGTGTATCCAATATGCATTTTCAGGGATGTGAGCAACCAAAACTTCCGAATCTGATTAGCCACCATCACTAGTTTTACCTTATAGTTTTGAAAAATTTGTGGAGTTCAAAGGTCAAACACAGACATGGAGTGATATAGTTGATAAACTTCAGAGGAACCTTGCCGACCGTTTTTCAGACGTTGCAGGTAATGAATGGACTCATAAGTATAACAGTTAGAGGCACTGGGTGTATCGATAAAAGTTTTGCAAATATCCTTCTGATTTATAGCCAACAAAAATATCAACCTGAATGGAACTTATTTATCGCTTCTTCAGCGATAACATCCCTGACATAAGAACAATCCATTATTTGCAAGCCTTACATAAGCTCACTGTAGTTCGTGCAAATTTAGCACCATATATAACGTTCTACAATCAGTAAGCTCACTGAAATAATGTGAATACGCCTCCTTCAGAATGTGTCAACTAGTAAGTTTCAAATGTTTCTGAATTTAATGAGCACACCAAAAATATGGAACACCTTAAACATATTTAGTTAATTTTTACTTAGATGCAAATTAATCAGAAAATCCAACCTCTTTTTCATAATTTATTGGAACGAATCCATCTGCGTTAAAGGAGAAATCAAGTCGAACGTTAGCACCGCAAAATCAGTTACTTATCCAAATTAATATCGATTTTGTTAACGGTATATATAAGGTTGTGAAAAAGTACAATTTCGATTTCCTAATTCTACATTGCATGTTTCATTTTTATCTGCGAATTGGTCACCTATTGAACACAGCGTCAAACTGAATTAAGTAACTTTAGTAGTAAATATATCCCGACAATAAGTAGTCAGCATCGGTAATGACCTCGAGTTGTAACCTGTTGGAATAATCAAAAGCCTCCACTCGATTTCTCGGTACTACTGAACCAGGATGCTTGTCAAAGACTAGAGACCTCAAATTACGTTTGTACAGAAACAACAGGGATGCTTAGTCACACGGTAAACTTATTGAAACTGGATGTTAAACTGAATGTTGAATACATCATAACCCACTATCGATTTCAGAGATATTATAGACTGTTGGTAAATGTAGACAACTTGATTGAAGTTTGCACGATTATCTTAATCAACAGTTGCAAAGGTTGAATAGTATAGTTTAGAAGCCACTACAATAACGTAGGTTTACTGACTGTTTATTTCGAAGAAACTGACTTCTATTCTACTGATACTACTGTTGTGGCATGTCTTGATATCTTCAGCTCACTATGACAAATGACATGGTGTGGTAATCTGAACTGACCAATATAACTGCCATCCTTGCTTGAAGTAATATACGAAGCAAAATTATTTGAACGCGTACAAACAAATTCGCCAATCAGCTTTGAAATATATTAATGAAGGCAATCGCATAAAATCAATACACACTGCATAATTAAACCAAACTCTACGTATTAAAGTAGTTAACTACACAAATATCAGGTGGGTTATGTTCATCATAAATTAATCAACAACTGAAAGCAGGAAGCAGAAATATTTCATTGTATCATGGGACTTTTCAGTAGTGTGCAATTATGGCCCAACAAAGAATCGAAGCCGGGACCTCAAGGTCTCACGATGAACAAAGGATTGATACCTAAGCTAACAGACCAACCTAGACAAAACCTCTTCAACTGAATACATCTTGAACCTTTTCTTTTCAATTCGAGTTATGGAGATCAGTGTTTTGACACATGGAAATCATCAATCCATCATTGTTAGACCACCTATAGAAACTGGGAAGCACTGGATGGTCGCCTCGTCTCGACATGGGACTCATCAGAAGTGCGCATCCACGACTCTTGCTACTCACAGAATCCAAATCCACAACCTTCGATCTTATCCGCGAACGCCTAATCTAATTATCATCAGACTAAACCATGTAAAGTAGTTTCCAAACGCATTCAAAATAGTCAGTCAGTTTAACTATAAGTGTCCCAGGGAGCTAAGGGAGTAAGGCAGACTACTGATTAAAATTTAGACAAGTATCAGAAATCAATGATAATTTGAACAATTTTATTTCAATAAATTATTGTTATTGCTATTTCCATATATATATTCCATTAAAAAAAATGTATTTACATTTACTTAGGTGTTTAAATAGTATTTTGTTTTTTCGTAACTGGATTTCATCTTGTTTGTTATGCTCTGTGTGTGTGACAGACAACACATGCAGAAAAAGAAAACTAGACAAATGCGCGCGCACACACACACACACGCACGCACAGGCACAAAGAAACAAACAAACACACAGACATCAAATTCAACAACATGAACAAAGGAGAAAAATGAATTGCATAAATAAACAAAAGGAATTAAAGAAAGAATTGATAGAGAATGGTATGCATTTACACATGCATAAGTCAATAGTTGAAGAAGAGAGAAAATTATACACCGCGCTCCCGTTTGCTTTTTTCAATTAAACAAACGTGAGTGTTCAATCAGTATGTATGTATACACACTGCTGCTGCCGCTGGTTCTGCTACTACTACTGTATTATATAGTTACCGATTGATTACAATGAATACACATGTATCGAATAGAGAATAACTAGTGTTTTGTTGTCTTTTTGTGTAATACTTGAAAAGAAAGAAAATTACTAGACGAATGATGTGAATAGACTACTGAAAAAACAAACCGATACTGGGGTAGTAGTATGAAGACGAAAATAGGTACCGCCTATGATTACGCATGTGAACGGATGTATGCGCAGCACAACAAAGACGATATGAATATTTTTTTTAAAAAAAAAGAAAAAGACAACTAAAATTGCATGAACACTTGTTGGTCTGATCCGGTAGACAACAAGGATGCATTCAATTTGTGTGTGTGTGTAACGGGTGTGCAAGAGTACGTGATGTTGTTGTCTTCTGTGTATGTGCGGTGCTTGTGTGGAGTGCATCTCTCTCTGTATGGGCATAATAATGTGTTACAAAATAATAACATGATAATTAAAAGTCAAATTCACAGGAAGACATACTGGGTAATTGAAGTTGTAGTAGCAACAACGTTAGTGGCTTGTGACGAGGCCAGAAACGTTTAAAAACAGACAACATATGATGTGTATTTTAAATTTCTGCATTACACACACATTTGTGAAGTTTGTGTGTTCAAAAACACAAAATAAATAGATAAAACCAAACAGCGAGGGTTGTGAATTGAAAAATGACGAATCGAATAATGATAAACTGTAAATTATTATTGAATAACTTTAGAAAATACACAAGTTTTCTTGGATAATAAATATTAAAAACAGTAGAACAAGTAAGTGTATGCAGTGTGCACATAGCCACACGCGCGCACACCTACACACACATACACACAGAGGTCAATCGGTAGGTCCGGATTTATCAAGGAAAAAAAGGACATCATATACAGAGGAGACAAACGAATCAACAAACAAACAGATAAACAAGTTTTTCTTTACTCCAATACAAAAACGAACAACTAAACGAAACCAAACAAAACTAACAACAACACCGACAAAAGTGAATCGTCAACTAGAAATATATAGACAGATAAGAAGTGTATATGTATAGAAATTGACAAATGCATTTGGCATAGCACTGATAACCATAATAACAGTCAGAACAGTACTATTTTCATTGTTTGTATGAATTTTTACCATGAATACTAACAATAATAATAATAACACTACATATTTGTCACATATGACAACAACAATGTTGACAACTGAAACAATGATCAACACCTCAAGAATAAAAGAAAAGAGAGAAAAAGCTGGAAGAAAAATTCGACCAAAATAAGAATTTTAAAAAAACACATCGAGTTCGTATGTATGTATGTAGGTATGTATAAATGTGAGTGTGTGAGTGTACGTATACACAAGTGTGCGGGGGAGGAGAACTTGTACCACCATCCAGTAGTGTACACACACACACACCTAATGAAGCTGAGTAACTTTGTACTGCGATTAGATTTATCAATAATAATAGTAATAATAATAATAATAACCATACAACACATACGATTAGTTGTGTCGATTTACAGATAATGAGGTATGTGACAATATCAATGTGCACACACATTTTTATCAAGAATTATTATTATCCAATGATTGTGTGGTCGATTGAATTTTCTTCATACTACTATTATTATTATTAATATTCGATTTCATAGTTGGATTTAATTTATCATCATTCAAAATAGCCGGTTTCATTGGACGAGTAAATGGTGGTTGAACAATTAATACAGTATTTTCATTGTTACTACTACTACTAGTAGTAGTAATATTCATGAATTCAGTAGTGTTAATAATTGTATCCGGCAGTCCAGATGTAGGTAAATGTGTTGTACTATTATTAGTTGATAATGATGAAGATGACGAGGAAGTATTAAAATTAAAATGTGGATTTACAGTGAATGATGATTGGTCTGGCTCATTGGTATTTTCGTTATGACTTACTATATTACTAATATTGTCGGGGATAGTAGTAGTAGTATTAGTAGTGGCAGAAATAGTTGTTGATGTTAAAAGATTTACACTGCTTGTGTTTTGGTTATTGTTGTTGTCATCGTCAGAAGTCACATCCAAACTACAAATTTCCTCTACACCTTGATCACCATTTGTTGTGACTAAATCTGAATTATTTAAATAATCTTTATATTTTTTAAATCGAATTGAATTTTTAATTGATGCTAAACTGGTAGGTGAGAATAAAGCTAGTAATTCATGGAATGGACTACGATTATGATGATTCATTGATGAAGAATTCGAAGTAATCATCGATGTAGAAGTTAATAAAGGTGAATGATGACTACTGAAAGTAGGAGTAGCAGAAGTAGCAGTAGTAGTGTTAGTACTACTACTACTCCCGATATTTCGATGATGTTGAAAAGTCGATGAAGACGATAATGTATGAGCAACATCATTGACATAATTTGCTATGAGTCCATGAAATGGTCTAGGCAATGATGTAGACTGATAAAATGATGAATTCGGCGGTAATACTGACGATGAGGATGTTTGAGAATTCGATTCAGTGCATAATAAATCTAAAGCTTGTTGAGCCTTGTCAGAATCCAATAAGCCGTATTTCACAGCAAAATCAATAATTGCACGATAACAAAATAAATATTGTGACGGTACTTGAACACAACCGAAACGCTGTGAACGTACTCGAGCAACTGTTAAAGGAATATTGATTTTATGCTGTGTATTACGTGAATCAGCTAACCATTTTGTACAGATATCCACAGTGACATAAGTGCCTAAACGAAAAGAAAACATGACATTTAGAAACAAAGAAGAGTTATTACGTTAATACAATGATGAATAAATGTGAATTTTGGATGGAAAAATTATTCAGTCTTCGTCAGTGTATGTAGCTTATGCTTGTTACTCCTAATGGAGCGTACGCCACTGACCGACATTCTCCAACCTACTCTGTCCTGGGATCTCCTTTTCAGATGGTTCCAACTGCTACTTATTCTTCTGATATTTACGCAAAATGTTCTTTGGTCCTCTTAATTTCACGATTAATTGGAAGTTAGTTTGTTATTTTCTACAGTAGGTCATTACTGATGATTTCTGGCAAACGGAATCAAAGTATCTTCCTTTGATAGTTGTTATTAAACTCCTGTATCTTTTGGAGGATGATGGCTTTTGTAGTTTTCCAACTTTCCGATTGATACAACAGAACTATCTGAACGCTTGTATTGAAAATTCTGACTTTGTTGGTGGTTGGCAGTTCCAGATGCTTATCTTGCTTTGTTAATAATCCATGTCTTCATATCTGTATCAGGATGCCATGTTTGTCAGTGATGTTACTCAGATATCTAGTCGTTCCAGTATATTCCAAAGCTTTTGCATCAAGTGTAATTTGGTTAGTGCATGATGTGTTGTATTTAATTATAAGTTGCTTTTTCCCTGGTATATGTTGAAGCCTACCGTTTAAGAGGCTGATGCTAAACTGTCCGTCTTCACCTACATTTGTTGTTGCGTGCAGGATAGAAGAGCTAAATCAACTGAGAAGTCTAGGTTGTCCAGCAGCATCAGAGCTGCCCACTGTTTCATGCTTCCCCTAAGCTGTTGGCACTTTCATAATCCAATCGACCATTAGGAGAAATACAAAATATGATGGTAAACAATCTCGTCTGATACCGGTCCTTACTTGGAACGATTCAGTGAGCTGTACATTTAATTGATTATTCGCCAACGATTTTTACGGCATGCAGTAATTTTAGTACATTAAAAATCGATACTTAAATGATTTTTTTTATACGTGAATGACATTTGCATGAGTGAATGGATCCGGTATTGAATAGTTTCATTATTCACTGTAGAGCGCTTCATGTTAAAATAAGAGTTAATTTTACAAATAATTATTCAACTTTCTGGAAAATTACAATATTTATGGTGAAAAAGCCGGTTTAATTAAGTATCGATATATTCATTCAGCTTGTTAGCCCATTCAACTTCGATATACGATGTTATATAATCGTAATACTCATATTTAATTGATGAACCAATCAGTGTGTAAGCAATTCAATGATTTTTTTTAAAAAAACTGTAAAACAATAGTTATTAACGCATTTGAAATCATCAATCAATCAATCATTGTTAGACCACCATTAGAAACCTGGAAGCACTGGACGGCCGTCAAGTCCTGGTATGGGACTCATCAGCAGTGCGCATCCACGACTCCTGCACCTCGCAGGATTCGAACCCGGGACCTTCGGTATTGTGCGCGAACGCCTAACCATCGAACCACTGGGCCGGCATCCAACGATGTTAATGCCTAACTCTGATTGATCTACGGATTTTGCGCGTCCTCACCCATTTGTCTTTGGTAGTAAATGCGTAGACCCGACAGGGTTGAACTCCATTGTTCACGTCTTCTCAACTAGAACTCCGAGAATTTCCTCACGAAGAAGCTAGTCACTAGTGAGCACTGTTACGATATTTTCGGTCTAACAATGATTGATTGATGATTTAAAATGTATAAAAACACAAACCTCCAAAACTCTGCCCGAAAATAGTTAGTTATTTAAATATGGCAAATAATTATTCTCTTCTGATATTTCTACGATTAAACGACAAGTAGAAAATATTGGAAAAATGAAATAACTATAATGTTCACTACTCATCTATTTATTCAGTAGTACTGGATCAATTTACACGAACTTATTATATAGAATTTCAAAGTGATAATTAAAAAAATATTTTCATTTACAGATTTATAACATTTCTGTTAATTTATTTCACTCACAATAAGAAACCATTTATAGTGTTTATTGACACTACTACAGTTCAACCACTTAGTTATTTCTTAACGGTTGAAATTAAGACAATAATTGTAATTAAATTGTTTTTGAAAATGATTTCATTACTCATAGCTGTACAATCATATTGATAGGTATTGTTTTACATAGAGTTCATAATAAGTTGTAGTTGTGTGATAAAATTAATTCATAAAGGTTGTCAAACTTATCGATTGACAATGAAACTAACTGACTGTGGATTTTGTATGTACCACGAAGGTTAAAGTTAGACAGTGTGATTATCATAAATATATTCATGACGACCAGTATAACAGTAGGTCTCAACATACACAAGGGAAAAAACTAAATCCTTAGATATAAGGCAACATCCACTAACCAAATCACAAATGATGCAGAGGCTGTGGAATATGCGCAGCATCAGTGACGTCCTGGCGCAGAGATGTGAAGACATGGATTCGCAAAGCAAGAAGAACATCTGAAACTCTGAACAAGTGTCAACTAGCAGCCAAGTCAGAATACAAGCATTGTATGAATCGGAAACTTGACGAATCACAAAAGCTATCATCATCCGGAAGATACAAGTGTTTATTAACAGTTTTCTAGGCAAAATACTTTAGATCCGTTGGCCAAAAACCATCAGTAACAATTTACTGTGGGAGACAACAAACGGGATTTCTACTAATGATGGAATTAGTAAGAAGCGCTGGAGGTGGGTAGGATAAAACATTACGGAAATCAACCGACTGCAACACGTGTTACTCCTCACTTGAAATCGTCAAGACCACAGAAAAAGAGACATGATAAAGTGTGAGTGGAATATGAGGCAGATATCAAAAGAATAAATGGCAATCGGAAGCAAATGAAAAGGAGAGCCGAGGAAAGAGTAGGGCGCAGAATGCTGGTCAACGACCTATGCTCCATTAGGAGTAACAAGCGTAAGTAAGTAAGTAATTATTTTGTATTCACGAAATACGAAACAGCTGTTTCAATACACTTTTGGACTTCTTTAGTAAAACAGATTCCAGACCAGACACGCAATCCGACCCTTGCCATTGAAAACATAAATTATTTCGATAAAAGTAGAATTTCTCAACTTGATCTTGTTGAAAAGTGCTAGACGGTGAGCACTGTTGCTGAAGAGACCCAAGCGAAGACGAGATAATTGCCTAAAATTATCTTCATTTTCAATGGTTTTTATACATGATGTTAGTTCACGTGGAAAATCGCTTTTACAAATAAAAGAAATCTTAATAAATTATCTACCTGAATGAATCATATCACTTCTGTCTGATTTAAAAGAAGTTTCACAAATGCATCTCAGATCATTATGAATAATACATACACATATAATAAACATTACAATAAGCACAAGAGAAATTTAACGACAAATCGAATGATAAATAGCGTTTCTCCTCAACGTAAGTACATGAATTAAAATAATATTTGTTTCTCTTTTCAATTACTAAGGACAAATCTGGGACCATGTACTAGTAATCAGTTGAAACATGTCAATCATAAATTACAAGTGCACCATTTGGTTGGAACATGCATTACGTATTCCAAACCACCGATTGCCTCGACGAGCAATGATGTTTCGCGGAATAGGAGTAGGCTGGAAGAAACCTAGAGGTGACCAGACTAAAACATAGCAAAAATCCATCAAGTCACTGACAAGTGGACTGAGTCATGTTGGTAGGTGTTAACTACCGGGATGGGGTCCGCGAGATGATAGTAACTGGTGGTTAGAGACCTTGAATGACATGACTCAAAATCGTTTGCAATGGCGCAGATATCACCCATTCTTTCTTTTCTCTCACATTCTAATATTCTGAATACCTTATGACAGCTATTTCACCCTTCTTTTACTTTTGAATCAATTTCTCTGGGATATAATATCTTCGAACCTTAATCTTCTCCATTACCGCTAATACTTTTACTACCCCTACCACTATGGGATCTAAACTGACTATTTGATCTCTGTGTGCTAACTAAGTATGACATCCTAAACTGATGTACGTACGTACCAAGTTCCACATTGTAGCTGACAAACTAGATGTCATGATATACTGGACAGAAGTGAAAATCCCCGTTATTCATAATCTGTCCTAACATATTGACTTGAATAAAAAAAACCACTATTTTCATACAAAACCAAACTTTTAAGAATATTTCAATCAATATAATAAAATACCTATGTGATAAGTATGAATTAATTTTTTTTTTTAACTAAAAATAGGATTAAGAAAGTGGTAAGAATGCTTCACATAGAGTTTAACCATCAAAAATGATACACAGCTTTATGTAGCTCGGTTGATAAGCATATCATTAATCGATAAAATCGAGACATGTTTGCTGGCAAGTTTGGAATATACTTATTTATTTACTTACTGCTAGTAAAATAACCGGTGCTGCTCTATTCCATCTAACTAGCAAAACTTTGAGATGTTCGAATGACCTAAATGAAATCCAAGTTCAAGTCTTTTGTTGGTGTATTTTTCTCTGCACACATTATTATTCGCAGTACAAAAATGAGAGGTACTAATACTTTTGAATAAGAAATGAAGAAACTTACTAAAGGAAATACTGCTTAAACTTTTTTGAGATCTACTTAAATTTTATTGAAAAGTTTCTGCTTACAGGATGTGAAGTCACAATTTAAAAAAAATACAGAAATCCTGACAAAAATTTGTATATTCAAACAAAGTAACAGATTCTTTAGTTATTATTATTATTATTATTACTGTTGTGCACGAAAACTCAGGTGAGGACATCAACATATATATTTAAGCGAATATTACAGAGTTGTTAAGCATATATACAAAACCTTCCCGTGAAATCATCATTTGCAAACTAATCCTTATTTGTTTCAGATTTCAGTGTTTTTTTCATTTAGACTGTTCAGACTTCAGTTCACTTTACGTTACCTACAAATCGCCTTCTATTCTCATTCTTTCCTTCTCAATCTTTTGCTGTCAGACGTTTGATTTCCGTTTGATATCATATACTACTTATGTGAACATAAGTAGCGTACACCACACTACTACTACTACTACTAAGAAATGATAGTTAAAAACGTAGACACACAGTTGACCATAGAGATAAAGACAGAAGAAAAAGTAAGTTCTATCATAGTGAATGAAACTTATCAGTGAGGATTTTCATTAGAACTATGAGTATGATATGTAAGGGGCTAAGATAAATCTGATTCTCCAGTATTAAGTAATCAGAATATAGAATATGTACGGTCTATTGTACTATTCAGTGATCAAAAAATTTTTGTCTAATTGATTGTTAATAAATTGAATTCAAATAAAATTATTTGTTGAGAAAATTGTTGTGGCGAAATTCACTACGACAAATGCGACTACTAAATAAATTGAATTCTGAAAACTTTCATGGTTGTTCTTTTAGATAATAGAGAAATGAAAGAAGTGCACCGCTATGACCGAAAAGTATTTCTGGAAGACGGATAAAATTGATCGTTTGATAAAGTCTGATGACCTCGACTCGTGCATGGATTACACTGAACATCTAGTTATCAAGTACACATTCAAGCTTCAAGCCTCTAACTATGACAGTTAGTAGTACTATTTGTTTATTCAAATTCAAATTGGTAGAGCGTTATTCAAATTTGAGAAGCCATGCGGTTGACAGTCAAGAGCTTTAATCAATGATCTACAACTTAGTGAAGGCAATTGATGCACCTGTTGGGAATGTTAGATCCCCAAAACTCGCTTGATAAATGCCTTATTTTGGATTTCACGTTTGTGAGCATGGGCTGATCAGTTGACCTTGAGATTTCATTTCCCACCACGAAAATCCATGGCTGTGATTGGCTGCTGTGTATTTTAGTGTGCTATTTTCGAAATTTGTGTGATTGATTGTATTGTGATTGCTAGGTGTTTGTAGAATATACTTCCTACGCTTACAAAGGCCTTCTATCTTCAGCTTAGGATTCAACGTAGCCTATCTGGACGCTGGTAATTGTCTCGTTCGCGTTTATTGACTAAGGTGAATTCGTGATAGCTTGAAGCGTACCTAGTGACGAACATATCAGTACCTCCCCCACGTTGATTCTGGTAAGTGAATCCAAGAAACTAGATTTATTTTCTTCAGAATAGCGCAGACCACAGATAAGAAAGCTGACTTTGTTTTCCAAAGGAGAAGGATATATTTATATGAATGCGTGTGCAAAGGTTTTCCATGTCGTTTTAGTTAATAAAGTTTGTTTTCAACCTCAGTAGCTGCTAGTGTAAGCTGGCATATTGGAATCTTGTGTATTAAGAACAAACTCAAACAACCACACTGT